TAGAAGACAGTCAGTGCAGAATTACGGACCTTCTGGACACTTCCATGATGACTACAGCCGTCAGGTCCAGGAGACTGCAAAGTGCACGCTCCCCACGGCCGGTCCTGTAGAGACATCTCACCTACGGCCGGTCCTGTAGAGACATCTCACCTACAGCCGGTCCGGACAGCAGTGGTGGAGAAATGCTGAGAACACAGGATGTTTGGCTCCAAGGACTGTCGGCATGGGAGAGTCTCGGAGCTGCTGGGGATGGATAGCCTCTGCGTGCCCCCGAGTAGCAGCCCACGCATGGCCTTGGACCCTCGGGGTGGGTCCCAGCAACCTCTGCCTGAATGAGTGAACCAGGCAGCCGTGATGAGCGCTACAAAGTGAGAACCACCGGTCGACTTCAAGCCCCATCACCCTGCCTTTTTTTTTTTACAGTCGAGGAAACTGAGGCCAGAGTATGTGCTGGGACCCCCCCCCCCACCGCCGCCAACCCCAGAGCCCACCCATTTAGCTGGCTGCAGAAGGCTGCTGATTTCCAGCTGGTTCCTCCCCTGCTGGTGTCCCTTCCTCAGTCATGGCCCCATCTTGATGGACAGAGGTCCTTGGGCTTCATGAGCGGGCTCCGGTCCGGCCTCACAGGGAGGGAGGGGATGGTCAAAGCCTGTCCCTAGGCCCCTGTAGCTCTTCGGGACCCCGCGGGGGAGGCGGGCCGCACCTGCCCGCACAAAGTCTTTGGTGCCCTCTAGTGGCCCCAGATTTATTCTGAGCCTGGGAGCCCCACGGACGAAGGAGGCTTCCGTCCCAAGGACACTCAGCCGCTGTGCTTCTGCTGAGTCCCTGAGCACTGTCGTGAGAGCACCGAGCTGCGCGCCTGGGGGGGAATGAGCAACAGGTGCACAGACCTTGGCGGGCTTGTTCTCAGTTCATATACTATTTGAACCCCCTTTGGGGCTCCATGAACACCTGGGCGTCAAATAAGGGGGTGAATTCGGCAAGAGGAAGGCATTTGTTGAACATGGCCGGGACTGTCATTCTCATGTCTTGGTGACAAGTGCTGCAGGGTGACAGCTAGCCAGAGCACCGCAGAAACTGGCGCTTCGGTGGGCTGCTGCGTTAGAATCACCCCCTCAGTTTCCCTATCTGCAGAGTGGGCACAACCGTGGTGTCTCCTGCGCCGCGGGCGGTGCAGGGGACAGAGTGGTGGCAGGGCACTCGGGCCTCAGCACAAGGGGCCGCTCAGCAGGGGCTGGCCCCTCTCTCTTCACTCGAATGTTTAAATACCTCCTCACGGTGTTCCTTCTGAAATTCTAACGGATTGTTTTGGTGGAATTAAGAGTCCCCTGAACAGAAGAAAATGTTAGTTGGTGTTTTTCTTTTTTTTTTTTTTAAGATTATTTATTTGTTTATTTGAGAGAGAGAGAGATTGAGAGAACGAATGGGGGGGCAGAGGGAGAAACAGACTCCAGCTGAGCAGGGAGCCCGACGTGGGGCTCGATCCCAGGACCCCAGGATCATGACCTGAGCCGAAGGCAGACGCATCACTGACCGAGCCACCCAGGCCCCCAGTTGGTATTTTTCTGAAGACACTAATCCTTCTGTCATGGTAGTGAGCTTCTTCCTAGCCTGTGTGGGAACAGCTAGCGTGTGGGTGGCATCCATGCTTGAGGAAAACGGCTAAGAGCATGTACATGAATCATAGACATGCCATCTGGGAAGGTTTTCTGGGTGGCTGAGTCCAGAGCTGGGCGGTGTTGAGAAACTCAGACAGATGTTTTTCCCTTTCCAGCATGTCCGGCTGGCTCACGAGTTTGAGCATTTGGTGCTCCAGGATCCCCGCTTTGAAATCTGTGCAGAAGTCACTCTGGGGCTGGTCTGTTTTCGGCTAAAGGTATGTGTATCTACTTTAGTCTTCGTTCTCTTTGACGGTGACAGAGGAGAGAGGATCATTCATCACCTCCATCTCCAAATCGGCATGCTAGCTCCCTGGAGAGCACAGAAGTCAGCATGCATTTTCCCATCTGGAGTTCACGCCTCCTGGCCCTGACCCAGCCTGACTGCCCACGGGGCCCTGGGCACCCTCCCCCAGGAGCCGTCTGCCCCCCTCAATCAGACGGAGACTTCTCGCTAGTGTAGACACTTGGCCCCAGAATCCTCTCCACTTCCTCCATCCACACATCTCTGCCGCTGGAATGCTCTGAGCACTAAGCTGGGTACAGGCTCTTCCCTGGACCAGCTCCGGACCCCAGCCCAGACCTGCGGACCCTGGCATCTTAAGGAGCCCCTCCAGGTGGCTGGGTGTGCATGGGGCTTTGAGAAATGCTGGTCTGCAGCGCTCTGTTGTTCTGCTGCCTGATGGTGTGTTCACTGTGTGAGGGGAAGCTGGCCCAGAGGGCGGAGGGCACAAGCCAGCTCTGCTGGGAATCATGACCACGTTTCTGAGAAGTCTCTGAAAGGTGCTGCACCCACAGGCGCCTTATTATTTTATCTTGTGTGAGTGAGACCGGGTGGCAGCCTCCCACTGAGCACTCTCGAGCTGGCTATGCATTTTGCAATCTACCTTTTCATTGGCTTCCTTGTTTGCATGCCCGGAGCCATCAGGAGGAGGAGGGCTGAGCCCCGCTGCATTGTCAAGGTGCTCTCATCAAAATGTGGCCCTCCGCTCACCATATCCTCCCCCTCCCTGATTCATGGAGCTCTGAGGTGGTAATGAGAACCAGTCACGAGAAAGCCTGGACTCTACAGAGATAGTTGGGTGCTGGTGGGCCCGTGCTGGGCTCGGGGAGGGGTGCTGTGAGCTCTGTGCAGAGCGCACAGTGGTGGGACCCGACCGTGTGCAAGGGACAGGGGGCCCTTCGTCCTGGTAGGGCGTGGGGGAAGCCTCAGAGCGCTGGTGTCCCAGCTGGGTCCCCAGAGGGGCCACGGGCTGCAGTTCGGTTGACATCAGTGTTGACGGCAAGCTTTGATGCGTTTACCACGGAACAGACCTTATGTTTTGTTTTGACTGCCAGTGTTCTGATAGGACCTTTATTTATTTTAATTTTCAGTTTTATTGGGATGTAATCCATACACCACACACTTTGTCCATTTAAAGTACAGTTAGGGGGTGAGCGGCGCTGACCCCCCTGCCCCCCAAAGCTGAAAATCTGCATACAACGTTTGACTCCCCCCAGACTGAACTTCTAACAGCCTACTGTTGACCAGAAGCCTTACCCATAACACAGGGGAGGGAGGATCACATATTTTGTATGTTCTGTGGATTATACGCTGCGTTCTTACCATAAAGCGAGCCAGAGAAGAGAAAATGGTAGGAAGGAAACCACAAGGAAGAGAAAATACATTTGCTATGTCGCGTGGGATTTCTTGAAAAAAGTCCATGTGTCATCGTGGGGTCTGCAAGGGTCCGATGCACACATGTTGATTTTAGCATAAGCGCTGGGTTAGGCAGCTGTCACCTCCCCAGAGCGGGGCCTCCAACACCATCCTTCGGTGCCCCCGATCCGCTGTCCGGCTCCATGGCCCCCAAACCCACCTATGTGTGGTCCTGGCCCCTTTTCTCCTGTGCAGCAGGGCAAGTCCCACCCCCGGTCCCACAATTCCAGAAGCCCAGGGCGCTTCGCAGCCAACAGAAGTGGTCTTCTGTGCATCTGCTTGTCCCTTCCGTTCCACGGATCCCATTTCTTCATCAGGAAGTGTATTGTTCAGGCACGTGGTTCATGTTTCTGTCTCCACGTCTACGGGCTCATCCTTATCTCCCTGTGCCATTTTGCTCCAGTGTGGATTTCAAGTCCTCTACATCATTCGAGGCTTCAAATACACAGTGTGATTCCGCCCCTCCTCCCCCTGCTCCCCTGTTCTCTTTCTTCGTGCCCTCCCTGCTCCTCCCCCCTTCCCCTCTCCCTTCTTCCCGTGCTCCCGGTTCTCTTTCTTCCAGTCCTCCCCCTTCCCCTCCTCTTCCCCTCCTCCCCTTCCTCCTCTTCTTTCTTTCCCTTCCCCCTTCCCTCTCCCCGGCTCCTCTTCTCTCCTTCTTCCTGTCCTCCCCCCTCCACTGCCCCCTTCCTTCCCCTCCCCCTCCTCTTCTTTCTCTCCCTCTCTCCCTCCTCTTCCCTCTTCCTCCTCCTCCCCCTCCTCTCCTTCTTCTGGTCCTGCCCCCCCTTCTCCCTCATTGTCCTCTCCCTCCCCTTCTTTTTCCCCCCATCCCCCTCCTGCCCCTCCCGCCCCTCCCCCCTTTCTTCTCTTAGACTGTTCTGCTTGGCTTCTTCCTCTAATAGAAGACCTACCTTGCCTAATCCATTTGAAAGTCACATTTTCCTAAATAATATGTTTTTAATTTCTGTTAAATTTCTTCTGTTAATTTCTGTTTTCATTTCTTCAAACAACCTTTCAGATGTTTGCCCTTGTGCTGAGTCTTTCTGGTAAAATTCCACTGCTTTGTCTCATACATTCTTCCTTCTCTAACCTCATCCTCGAATAGGACAGGCTTTGTCTAGGCCTGGCACGCCAGCGGTTTCTGAACTGCCACTGGCCCAGTCCCTGTCCACTGGGTGCCAGCCTGAGCCCCACGAGGCCCGCAGCCTGCGGCTGGGAGGGTCTGCATGGGTCAGTCCCCAGCATCCGGCAGGTGTCTGAGCAGAACTGGACTGTTCTCCTCCCACTGTTCTCCCTGATTCTCGACTCTCAAGACAGAGTGAGAAGGCAAACCAGAGAGCCCTGTGAGGGTCACAGACCAGGGATGTGAGGCCCCACTTCCATCCCCCTTTTACCTTTGATGATGGGGCTTAGGGAGCTGGGGGCGCTGCCTGGAAGCAGAAGGAAGGTGACAGGAGCCGGGGAGAAGGATGCACAAATGGGAGATGGGCTCCGGGAGCAGGGGCACCCAGCAGGTGAAGAGATGCCCCCCCCCCCCCCGATGGCTTCAGTGTCTGGCTGCCTGTCCCAGGAGGGAGGGGCTGCTCCTTTCCAGAGGGGGGAGTCCAGCAATGGCCCCTTGGTCCTCTAATTCACCTGCAGTTTTCCCAGATTCTGAGTTGACTGTGTTCTGTGTTCTATGTTGCTGAGATTTCTCCTATATGTCTTGGTGGGACCCCCTCACTGGTGCCATTTGAAGCCTCAGTTCTGCCATTTAAGCTAGTCAGTGTGTAGATCGCGTACCTATGAAACTCCATTTTTCTTAAAAAGGCTGGCCCGTGGAAGGGCACCTTTTGACAGTAGTTCGACCCTGAAGAACCTGTCTTGCAGGAGAGGCTAGAGGCTTGCAGCGACACGGAAGTCTCACTGAGGTGAATTTCTTACCCTGATCAACAAAAGGCTAGTGGGAAGGCAGCCTCTCTCGCAGATGTATGATGGCGTTGCCAGGTGCCAGCCTTCCTTGGTGACCAGTTGAAGTTTGAGTCCCTGGGGACCTGAGCAAGTGCCCGCTCTCCATCAATGCAGGGTTCCAACAAGCTGAACGAAGATCTTCTGGAAAGAATCAACAGTGCCAAGAAAATCCACCTGGTCCCCTGTCACCTCCGAGACAAGTTCGTGCTGCGATTGGCCATCTGCGCCCGCACCGTGGAGTCTGCCCATGTGCAGCGGTCCTGGGAACACATCCGACAGCTGGCCACCGATGTGCTGAGAGCCGAGAAGGACTAGGAGGCCCAGCCGCAGGGAAGCTGCTGCAGGTAGGCTGTCCCCCCAGCTCCGCCGCCTCACGCTGCTGGGCCGCCGGAAGAGGAAGGACCCCCACACTGCAATGATCCTTTAGGAACAGAGATACATTTCTACTTTGTATTCTTTTTTTTTTTAAGACTTTATTTATTTATTTGAGAGAGAAAGCACAAGCAGGGGCAGAGGGAGAGGGAGAAGCAGACTCCCTGCTGAGCAGGGAGCCCGATGCAGGACTCGATCCCAGGACCCCCCCCCCCCCCGATTATGACCTGAGCCAACTGCGCCACCCAGGTGCCCCATTTTGTATTCTTTTATATGAGACTATCAATCCTGCATCTCTCTGATTTCCCCTCAGATTTCTTCCGTGTTTACAGACGCCGCTTACTAGTATCACAAGCATTTATATTAAACTGGACAACAGCAGATAAATGAAAATTAAACATTACAACAGGAGTTTGACGTGACTGATGATTTATGTTTCTCTGTCTCTCTCTCAATATTCACTGCCCCGTTACCCACTTACTAAAACCCATGGGGGGTGTGGAACCTAAGTGTATTATATAATTTACTTTATAGATTGCAGACAATTTTATCTTGTTCGCTCTTGATTTTCACTGTGAATACGTGAAGCCATGCTCAAAAAATCAAAAGTTCAAAATCACATTTCATATATGGCTCCCAGCTGTGAGGTCCAAGATGCAACTTCTCAGTCAAAGCCCGTCCAGAAATACCAGATCCTTTTCCTGGTATGGCAAGAACCTCTCTTAAAGGAGCCCAGCCTGCCCAGAGCAACACCAGACGTCTAGCTTGAGCATCTCTGGAAGGTACTGGAGAGAGATCACGGTTTCAAATATTTCCATTGCTTTCAGATAAGAATGTGTACATCTGTGTGTGGGGGGGTGCGTAAGTGCTGTAAGATATATACAAAACAAAACTGTCTCAGGCAAACACTCCTGGTTAACATTTCCACAGCCCTATGTTTGCACAAATCTCATCAGGATCGATCATATCAGGATCTGATTCCCATGTGCCCATAACAACAGAGAGTCTATAGCTCTGAAATGTGAGCAGAAACAAAGTCTCATTTCTGATAGAAGGCAAGATGACTGGGGCGCCTGGGTGGCTCAGTTGTTTAAGCATCTGCCTTCGGCTCAGGTCATGATCTCAGGGTCCTGGGATGGAGTCCTGTGTCAGGCTCCCTGCTCAGCAGGGAGTCTGCTTCTTCCTCTCCCTCTGCCCCTCCCCATGCTCGTGTTCTCTCTCTCGCTCTCAAATAAATAAATAAAATCTTTACAAAAAAAAGTCATGATGACTGTGAAATCATACACATTATCAATTCAAAAGGTTACAAATGGGGGGTGCCTCGGTGGCTCAATCGGTTAAGCATCTGACTCTTGATTTGGGGTTCGGTCGTGACCTCAGGGTCGTGAGGTTGAGCCCCGTGTCGGGCTCTGTGCTGGGCGTGGAGCCTGCTTAAGATTCTCTCTCTCCCTCTCCCTCTGCCCCGCCCCTCCTGGTCGTGCTCCCTCTCTCTCTAAAAAAAAAAAGGTACAAATGGGATTAAATTTTTTAAAAATATAGGATATAATAGTGAATCATAACGCATGTACTTTTGGGGGCCAGGTTAATTCAAGCAATGAAAATCTGAATACCCAGGCTTTACTTGCGCTAGCCTGATATTATCATATCAAATTCACATGGTTGTAATTCCGACGGAGAGAAGGAACTATCCCCATTTCACGGAGGGTAGAAACTGGCACAGATGATGACTGACATTGGTAAAATGTGTCCGAGAGAGGCCAGATCAGTCGCTTGATCTCGTGGTTCACAGTTCCTATTCGTCTACAATGCACGGTTCCCTCCAGCTCACTGGAGAACTAGCATATTCTTTCTCTGTATTTTAACGAGAAGTATACAAAATACCGATTCTTTAATATTTTAATTTTTTTGAATGTAGCCATACGTTCATGCATATGTTTTCCCCTGTAGAGATCAAAAGTTGAAAAGGAGTACATCTGAGAGCTGTGGAACGAGAAGACAATAAACATTATTCTGGTCCCGAGGACCCAAGCCTGCATGAGGCCTCACGCTTCTTTCTGTGAAGTTCTCCAGAAGCTTAGTGATTATGTCTGCTCACTCTCTTACCAATGAAGAAACTACTTACTGCAATCCTGGTGCATGTAGCTTTTACTCATTATTCAACTGTGACTTTTGTTGATTAAGAAATCATAGGTTGTCATGCTCTTGAAGTCATCAGTGGTGGGAGAGGCTTACTGAAATATTTTCCAGGATATTCTAGGATCGAGGGACTTGAGATTATACCCGTGGTCTTTAAATTGTTCTGTCATGTGGCTCAATGCTTAATAAACAATGTGAAGTGCAGTGGTGAATGTGTCTGGTAAGCATCCTTTGGTTCCGCGTTGTACCCAACTGATTGTTGTAATGCACACTTAACCTTTCAAAACAGCCGAAGATAGGGCATCCTTGGATATTTTTTTAAAGATTTTTATTTATTTATTTGAGAGAGAGAGCGAGAGAAGGAGCACAAGTAGGGGGAGCAGCAGAGGGAAAAGCAGGCGCCCCACTGAGCAGGGAGCCCGATGCGGGGCTTGATCCCAGGACCCTGAGATCATGATCTGAGCCAAAGGCAGACGTTTAACGACTGAGCCTCCCAGGCACCCCCATCCTTGGATATTTTTCAATGGTGTCATTGCTCCAACAAATGTTTATGGACTACCTTGTGCATATCAGGCAGTGTTCTAGATGCATTAGCAACACACAAATTTTACTTAGAAGTGACTCTAACTCTTGAAGAAATAAACCCAGAGCCAGGACACAATCACAGACCAAGTTCTACTGGCATGATGGGAAAGATTACCTTCTAGGACCTTGGTTTCCTGGTCCAAGGACCAGTGATGAGTCCATCTGCCCTATGGTCTCATGACTGATAAACAACCAGAGTGTTCTTGTAAACGTAAATACCAGTAAGCTGCAGTATTTACTCTAATAGCCTATCTTTGTTTGAAACCATTTTTACTGGCAGAAACACTTGAATTTTAATCTCAAGATGAGTTCTTGTCCTTTAGAGACGATTTAACTATTGAAAGCAAAGCGTTCTCGGAAAAGGTCCTCGGACTATTAATAAGTCTATTTGAATTTCAAAGACCTCTGATAGCTAAATGTAATTAAATGGTCTGTTTTTCAGGAATCTGGAAATACATCAGAGGCTATGTAGTTCCCCATCTTACACATAAGATCATTGGTTCTCTGCCCATCAGTGAACCAGACCTGCCTTCCATCAAGGTGTGAGGACGTGGGATGGGCCACTGGGGCCACTGGAACCACACGTTAAGAGCTGTAGGGTGTTGAGCACTCAGATCATTGAGTTGAGGTGGAGGTAACTGTGTTCTACAATGAGATGGTTTGCACCTGAGTGTGCTCTTGAACTACGTTTGCTACAAGATCTCCAAAATGAGCCACCAAAGTCACCGAGGCCAGCTCTCAGCTTTTGAGCTTTTGTGGAGCTACCTCCCCAGCCCCATCTATAAGCCTACTTTGGGAAGATGGCGGAGGCTGGAGTCCCAGGCAAGAGCTTGGGCGGCAGGTGACAACAGGGATGCTGCTGAGAACCATGCACAGACAGGAGGCCCAAAGCCAGCTGAGTGACTGAGGGGCTCCTCTCTCTGAGCTTGGCTGGGTCTTTCTGGTGGAGATTCCCAGACATCCGCTTAGATGTAGACCCAGCAGAGATGAAAGCTTGTCTGACTTCTGGCTCATTTCTCTGTAAATCATCGCAGTTCACCCCACCTCCTGATCTCTCCAGGCATCTCAGGGACAGAGCCATCAGGCCCCAAACCACCCAGCCTAGACCCAGCAAGAAGCACTGCTTCCCTGTGTATTAAACACACATACACACTCATAGCATGTGATCCATGCCAGGCACCGTTAACAATATTTTTAAAATATTAACTTTATACTTATTTTTAAATTTTCAGTTATTACTCCCAATTTACAGATGAGAAAATGGGGTTTGTCAAGAGGGTTTTTCAAGAGGTTTAGTGACTTGTCCCAGGTCATGCTGCCAATTGGTGACTGAACTAGGACTAGAACTCAGGCAGCCTGGGACTCGAATGCACACCCCTTTGCCCACTCAACTGGTGGCCAAACATGCCGTCTGCTCTTCAGGGTGAACCATTTTTCAGAATAAGTGGCAGTGAAACCATTCATTCCCTTCTGGGAAAAACCCATTTTCACCTCCCAGGTCAAGTCTTGGCTCCTGATCCCAGCCTGACGATCCCCAAATAGTCCCATAGTTTATGAAGGTCTGGACTACTCAGCCTAACCTTCGATCCACCGCATAGCATCTTTACGTAAATATACATTCCGTTTGGTGTCACGACATGTCGTAGACCCCTGCTGGCACCAGAAGTCGATGCAAAGCCTATTGCCTCCTGGCCTTTGATAATGGCACCTCCTGCTTGGTGTTGGAAAAATCCCCGACGGATGTGGACACAACTGGATCCAGATACCCAAACCGTATTTAGTCATACATAACACTTCTGACACCAAATGAGATTTTTCCTTCCTGGCACCAAATAGCAGCACCTCTTCTAACGCTACCTCTCCAACTCTCTGCCACTATCTAACGGGAGTTAGATATGAGCCCATAATTAGGGCTCCGAACCATAAGTTGCCCTGCACCTGATGCCCGTCACAATCCTGGGGCCTCCCGTACTTCTGACAGACAGGCTATAAAGCAGGGGTTCCCTTGACCCCCTCCTTAGGTTCAGTGCCTTGCTAGAACAGCTCACAGACTCAAGACGCTGTTTTACTTGTGCTTACCACTTTATCATAAAGGGTAAGGCTCAGGAACAGCCAATCAGAAGAGCTGCGCAGGGCAAGGTATGGGGAAGGCGGATGGAGCTTCCGCACCCTCTGAGTGCACTCTCCTAGTACCTACATGTGTTCCCCAGCTTGGAAACTCTCCCAACCCTGTCATTTAGGGGTTTTTATGGTGGATCCATGAGATGGGCATGGTTGATTAAATCACTGGCCACGGGTGATGAGCTCAATCTCTGGCCCCCCTCCACTCCCCAGAAGTCAGGAGGCTGGCCTGAAAGTTACAACCCTCTAATCACACTTTGGTCTTCTTGGTGTCCTGGCACCCAGGGATGCACAATATTTGGGGCCATAGTCTCTCTCTGCTCAAAAACAAATGAGATCACTGAAGTGTACTGCGGGCATTTTTTTGAGACATGTTTATAATATTCATGAATATGGAAATGAGCAGCCATCTCCCAGAATCCTTCACGCAAAGAACTGGCACTCTCTTTGCTGTAGGTGGAAACCGTTTCTCTTGCAGTTTCGAAGAAATAAAAAAAAAAAATCCTACCCAGAAGAAAGAACATAGTCTATGGTCTCAGAAGGAAAGTTTATCTGCATAGCTCAAGTACTAAACTCTTCCATACTAGGCTAAAGTGTTAGATAGTATTCTAAAATATCCCATTTGTAAAAGAGCGAACGTCTCGATACGGTGTAAGGGTTTGAATCCCAGTGATAGTGTTCATATAGTAGTAAGTACAGGACAACCTCACAGCTTCTGTTGAATGTCTGCATTGTGCCAGCCAATGTTCTGAGGATTTACGGTATCGCGTATTAATCGCAATCCTTAGAAGAGCTTCTGAGTTAGAGGAGTTTACTCCCTTCACATAGGTTAGGAGGAGGCTCCGTTCGGGGAGAGTACGAAAGTGACTTATACTTCCGCCAGCAACGCAGGAAGATGGAAACTGCTGGATTGGGAAATGCTTTTGTATCAAAGGCAGTGAAATGGCAATGCTCATGTCACTTGTTGAAAACCAGCTCTGGACTCTTAGGATGGTAAGACAGCGGTTTGTGTGAATTCTCCAAATGCTATCATTAAAACAGTGATGAAAGTCACCAAAAATTGCCAATTACCCTAATAATATTTATTTAAATTTACTAAATTTACTGCCAATTACCCTAACAGCATATGGTGATTTCTAAATATACAAGTGGAAAAATAGCTAGTAAACGCACAACTGAGTCAGCCTGGAGATAACAGTTTCCATTGACATTTTCTTTTATTTTTATTCTCTATATTTTGAGTAATTATGATAATTAGAAAATTAGCTAATTAATTATGAACCTTTAGAATAAAGAGTCTGTTATTCCTACTTAAGCCAAGAAATGAATTGTGAGCGGTTTCCCTTGTGATTGCCTATTTACAAAAATATATTGTCCAATCCCTTTTATTTTGTGCCCATTTAAAAAGCTGCTAGAAGAAAGGTCTTTGACATTTTTTTTGCCTCCCATTTCTTCAGACCGTGCATTTAAATGTCACGTGCTGTTATTTTCTGCTCTCAGGATGGGATAACCCAAGATCAGTGAGCCAAGGAGAGGGAGAGGAAGGCTACTGGGGCTTCCTGGAAAAAACAAAAACAAAAACAAAACGCTTCTTCCTTTTGCCGAAAGAGAAGTATTCAGGGGTGAAAGGTCTTTCCTAGTTTGGCCCCTTCTTCCCGCTTTAAATGGGGCAGTGTGAGGCTGCGTTCCTTGGATCGTGGGGGCCTTCTCAGAACAGCGAGGCGACAAGCCTGGAGGGAAAAGTCACGGGAGATGGGGGTGGGGGGGAAGATGGCAGAATGGAAATGTGTACCCTCAGGACATCCTTAGGGCGCGTGATCAGAGCCGGAATCGTCTCCAGTTATATGACGCGATGACATTAAGGACAGCAGAGGTCGTTGCCGGTGGCTATTCTGTTTCTTGGTCTGAAAACGCAATTCACTAATCTGAGCATGCGACTGTCCTCAAAGTCCAAGGCAATAACGGAGTGTTTTTCAAAGGCTTCCTTCCACGAAAGTGTCCCGAAAGAGCGCAGGGCGGGGGCGGGGTGTTCCGGCTGAGGGACAGATCTGAGCTGCCAGACTCAGGCAGAGCAGGCGTTCGGATTCCCTTAGTCTGTCTTAAAAATGCGTGTCGATTTGCACGCTCCTCTACTCAGTCCTCTTGGCCAGTGGGTAAGCTTTGCCCAGCACCCGCCTGCTGACGAGGAGAACAGACGGGGCGGAAGAGGGGCACCGCCACGGGCTGGCGGGGAGCCGGCCTCCACGTGCTCCGAGGAGGGCGTACCGCCCCCCCCCCACGCCCCCCGCGTCAAATCGACCTGACCGCGCCGCCACCTGCCGGGCCCGGCCTGCAGCTGCACCGCGCTCCCTGAGCTGCCCAGGGGGGCGCAGGTAAGGCGCCTTCTGCGGGGGTCCTCTGAACTGGGCTCTACCCTCAGCGTCTCCGAGTCTTTATTTCGGACGGCGAACAGGAGGCACAGGTGCAATGAAACGATGTTCATCACTTCCTGTGAACTC